TGGGACGAGGGGGCAGGGTATCGATTTCGATTGTTTCTGGTGGCAGCTCCGAGGCTGATCGCTGCGGGGCTCGGGTTGCCCGGCGCACAAGATTTGTCTTCAGCCGCGACACTAGCGAGGGCTGGTTGGGGTTGTATCGGCCGTCCTCCATGTCTTCTCTGTCGGGGTCGGGGACGTTTTCGTCAATAAGGTTGTTTAGGCTTTCGGAGGAGATTTCGGAAAAGTGGTGGTGTCCCTGCGCCGGAACATTGAGCGAGGTCACGGCCAGGTCGACCGAAGTCATCGCTGGGTTCACCACAGCAATATGGTCCTGCGGATTGTCGGAGGCATCGATGATGCTGACGAGGGGGTTGCTCAGATTCACCAGCGTCTGGTCCACCAGCTGCCTTTTCCGGTCCAAATGCCGCACCAGCGCATTCGAGCGGGAGTGGATCCGCTTAAGCAGATCTATCTGCTTTTCTGACAGCTCTCGGTCAACGTTGTACTTGCTTCGGAACTCGACGCAGCGGAAATAAATGATGACCGGAACAATAAAGTTGGAGGTCGACACAAACAGCGACGAGGTCCAGGTCTGGAACGACAGAAGCGAGTTTCCTGTCTGCAGCGGGAACACCACAAGCCAGGGCAGCACAAACGACACGACAATTGCCAGCTCTAGAGACAGTTAGGGCCGGGGACTTACTTTCCGACACAATGTCGTTCTGGAACAGGTTTTCCTTGGATATGATCAGATTCACCGGGATCGACGGAATCAGCATCACAAAGGCAAAGATATAGACAAAAAACTTTGTCAATATCGAGGGCTTTCCCAGAGAAACCAGAGTGGACAGGACATTGGGGGTGATGTTGGAATAGCCTCCCGCCACTAGCGTCAGCAAGCCGTCTCGACCTACAAATCACTCCAGAGGCCACATAAAACAACGTGACAATCGAGATGGTTGACCAAACGCTGTTCTGCACGCTGACGTCTTTCCGCTTGATGTTTATCCACGACGGAATGATGGTGACAATGGCGAAATTCAACATGACCGTGCCAAGAACCTGGCCGTACTGCACTCCTATCGGCGTGGCAGCAACCAGACGGGAAGAGTCAAAGCCGACCACAAAGGACGTCGACATCCACTGCACCACCATCACCACCGACACGCAGAATGCCCCGTACTGCACGCCCATGTTGTCGTCGAGGTTGGTGAGTCCCAGCGGAATGGACATCATAATCACCACAACCAGCCCCAGCGAAAAGAGGATCCATTCGTTCTGGAAGGGAGAGGGATAGGTGTTTTGCACGGCGGAAACACACACCCAGCCTTTGGCCTTGCCCGACAGCACCAGCCCGCATGTTTTGCCAAATATATCTACAAACATATTATCAATCGCCTGGGCCGACAGGACGATGCCCTGAATTGCGTTTGACTGGAGCGCTCCATACAGCACCAGCTGGCCGGCAATGTGGGCCCAGTGTCCGAAATAAAAGTTGATGAGTGTGGCATATTCAACGTCGCCTTGGAAGTGTTTGTTGCCTGGGATGGCCTGCATGGCCTCGACAATAAAGAGCACGGAAAATCCACTGACAAAGGCAAACACCAAGAAGCACGCCAGAGTAAAGGCATAGCCTGGGTCTTGGAAATTGGCGGGAGTAAAGGGCAGTCCCGGACCGGTGGCAGCGTTGAAAAGCAGCGCTAATGCACCGAGAAATCCCAGCTTCTTGGCCGTCATGAGCTGGAGGGCATAAATGAAACCGACCTCTTACCCGAGCATAGGTAGCTTTCCTTTTTACATTTATTACCGTAACGCTGGCTCTATTCATACGGAGCGCAACGATTTAGTGGCAACCCCGAGCGCGTGGATGGAGCAAAAACACCGTATTACGGAATCCGGCTCTTTACCATCGAGAATCGGTCGATTTCGTCCAGAATCTGGCTCGACTGCGGCGAAGAGCCCTGCGGCCTCATCAGGTGCGGAGGCAGCATGTGGTGCGGGGTGTGGTGCACCAGCATCTCGTCTAGTGTGTTTGCCAGGCTTCCAGAGGGCTGGTCGTGCTTTTCGGCCTGGGAAGGCGGCTTGGATAAATATTGCAGGCGAATTCCGATCAGCAGCTTGAAGATAGTCAGACTACGGGTCAGCCAACGGGCGGTGCTACCATAGATAGAGCGGAATGATCCAGGAATAGCGCTGGCTGGCTAGGAAAAACGAGGATCCCGAGAAGCCGGCCTTTTGGAACGACGTCCGCTGTGCCTTGATCCAGATGGTCAGCTTGTAGGGAAGCTTCCAGCTGCCAATATGCTCGTCTTCCAAATACTCGTCCTCCAGTCCCGGTGTCCTGGGCTCGTCCACGAGTGTTTCAGGCATGACTCCGACAATCTGCAAGATCTGGATCGCAACGCGAACGGCCAGACAGGCCAGCGGCAGCGACACAAACCCAATTCGCTTTGCAACGATGGGAGACCGATCTGCTCGTGCACCGCCCGTGGTATCGGCTGGCTTGCGGTTGGACGACGTGCCCAGCAGGTCTCGACGCAGACTCTCTTGGAACCGCGTATACACCGTTGGCTCCAGGCCGTTAAACTTGACGATGAAGGCATGCTTGATCCAGTCCACAATGATTTCGGTCCCCATGACAATAAACGAGGGTCCGAGGATGATCTGGCCCAGCTTGAATTCGTTGGACGAAAAGACCCTGGGGACGACAGTCACCACAGCCTGGTGCAGTTGAGATAGCATCGGCAGCCGCAGCGACTGCACAGTAGCAACGGGGTTTGCCAGCGCCGAAAACACGGCTAGCCCCACGTCTTTGATGGATATGGTCGAGTAGACGACGTAGTTGGAGATGTCCCCCATGGCCCCGCTGCCCAGTATTTCCAAACAGTTCCGGATGGTGACAATGACCAAAAACACCGTCAGCTGGAACCGCTCGACAATGTCGGCACAGGACAGCTGGAAGAGGTTGCCCTTTTCAAACTTTTTAAACACGCTTCCCTGTCGTCAGCCAGCACCACCCACCTTGATTTCCACAAACTGGTTCGATATCAGAAGCGTGAGGAGGGCGTTGTTGTAAGAGTTGATGGCAACATTCAGCGACATGACCTGCGTGAGCCGGCGGCCAGCTTACTTGGTAAAATAGCACGAGGGTGTGTGCAGAAACATAGGCGGCAGCAACAATGAACCGAGCCACTCTGCTGAACCGCTTGCTCGCCGAGCTGGAGTGCGAGTCCACGGTGGAATACAGCGAGTCCAGTATGTCGTGTCCAAAGGCCGAGCAGAGCTTGTCGCAAATCTCCAGGGCATTGAAAATGACGTACAGCTTGATGATGGCCTGTCCTCGGATGGTGTGGTACAGCTGGGAGGCATCGACGTTTTGCAGCACCAGCGACGAGGCGGCAAGCAGCAGGCCCATCATGAGGTCAATCTTTTGGCTGGCCGTCAGCGACTTGCCGCGGAGAATCGACACCGAAAGCAGCGACCAGAGCGCCAGCAGTATCCGCAGCGGCAGTATCGTAAACAAGTACAGAAAGCTGTCCAGACAAATCAGGTATCCAAAGGACAGAAAGCCCTCCAGCTGCCTCGGCACCTGGAGAAAGTTGAGCACTCGCTTGGTCTTTTCCTGTCCCCGCTCCTGGACGGTTTTATCGTCATAGTAGTCTGGTCCCAGTTCCACCAGCAGTTGATCCCACAGACTATGAGAGCTGTCTGGCGGCTCGACAGCAGGCGGCGTTGGTCGACTCTGGCCAGGATGCAGCTGCGGCAGGAGAGGCTCCCGACTCTCTGTAAAGTTGAATGCAAATCCGTCCTTGGCCTCTGTTTCAAAGGCCCTGGGCAGGCTGGAGTTGGTGATATCCCAGAGTGGACTCTCGGGAATGGGCCGCAGCTGCTTTTTGCCAACCTTTTTTTTTCTAGATTTAAAATAGTGGCTATAGTTGGACGGCATTTTTATGGATGAGGGACCTGCTACAGTCCGTACTTTGTTTGGCCAAGCACGCTACCACTCTTCCACCTTGATCTTTTTGGCCGGCTTGGTATCGAGCAAGCTGCCGTCTTCTATCCCGGGCAGCGCTGGCTGCACATCCGAGGCCGGACCGGCAGATGGTCTCTTCAGGGACTGTGACGAGAGCTTGACGCCGATTTTGGGGCATTGGTCCTGCACTGGACAGTCGTGGCAGAGCGGGCCAACCGGCTTGCAGTGGATTTGCCCAAACCCGACCAGTAGCTCGTTCAGCGTGCTCCAGTACTCTTGCGGGAGCCAGGCCTGCAGCTCTTTCCTAGTGTCTTCAGGGTTTTTTGCCTTGCTGGACACCCAGCCGAGCCGGTGGCAGATCCGATGCACATGCGTATCGACCCCAATCCCGATGCTGGTCCCCCAGGCCTCTTGCATGCACAGATATGCCATTTTCGGGCCAAAGCCAGGCAGCTCCAGCATCTCGTCCAGCGTCGGCGGAATGTCGCCGTTGTACTTTTCCATCAGGATGACGGCCGTCTTTTGCAGATAGACCGTCTTGCGGTTGTGGAAACCAACCTTGCCAATCAGCTGGTTCAGATGGACAGACGAGGCATTAGCAACCGCCTGGGGAGTCAGCCCGCCCTCCAGCCCGGTTTTCAGGTTTTCGATCGCGGCTGCAGTGACAGGGTCCTTGGTTTGCGAGCTAGCTAAGATGGCCAGGCCTACCTCAGCTGGAGCGACGTCAGAATCTGGTATCGTTGGATGTGCTTTTCTGCCTTGCGATCAAACAGCATGGCACAACCAATGCTGTCGACCGGTGCCTTGTTTGATTTCCGAAACACTTTGATTTTGTCGTGAATGTTTATCCAGTTTTTGGGTGGTCGCACTTGGTTGGCCATTTCTGCTCTTTGTTGCGGCAACTGCAAACGGCTGCTGCACCAGGCACTGCACACCCGGCGGCAGCGTCTCGGGTCGGCTGCAGCACAGAGAGTCGTAGTCGTGACCGCACGGAACAGAGACGGATTAAAAATAGTACAAATCCTATAAATAGTTCGGGGAACTAAGCGTCTGTTTGGCGGAGTGGTTAACGCGGTGCCCTGCTAAGGCATTGATCTCTGATCGCGTAGGTTCGAATCCTGCAGCAGACGGATTTTTTGTCTTTTTTCCTGCCCTGTCCTGCTTTGTGCACCCAAGAACTGCTTCTGGTGATTTGAGATGCATTTCTTTACTAGATTGATTGTCGATAGGGGAGTTTTATTCGCACCCCTTGGTGCTTAGCTGCACCACAAACATGAGTTTGCTATTTATTTCCAAGATGAATTGGTTTCTAGTGAAGGTACATTACCAAGAACATGGATACGTTTGATGGTCAAGATGCACACAGCCTGCTAGATTTGTGATAAAGATGACCACTACTGTAAAGCATTGGATCTCAATTAATTTAAATCCTCCATGCTACTGCAATGCAAACAGTCGCTTGAAGTAGTTCATGTGGGCAGTGAAGGACTTGGGGCATTGGATCCCTGAAGTTCAATCTCACCTGTCGATAGCGATTGAATTCATGGGACAGTCGTCGATTGCTGATATGGCAGTTTGGTTCGGATCATCTGTAACCCAACCAATCGAGTATCTCAGATTGGTTGTTGAAACCTCTGAAGCAAAAAGGAGGTTTTAGTTTTGAAAAAAAAAGCGACGACGGCAAGATTTGAACTTGCGCCTTCAGAGAAGAATTGATTTCTAGTCAATCGCCTTAGACCGCTCGGCCACGTCGTCAGCTTCTTGAGCTCCTCTGACAGCTGCTACGACCTAGCTTTTAGCAGATGTAGTGGTTCGTCACGGCCCGACGGTAGTACTGTGACCACTGCGCTGTTCGGTATCGCAGCCAACGACAGCAGACTTCTGGGAGGCACAAAGTGGGCTGGTGTGCGATGGAGCAGTTGAACGAAAAAGAAAAGGCAAACGCAAGTTCCGAATGCTTTCCAAATCCGTCGGAGCCTTTGTGTCGCTAAGTGCAAACATTCGACAAATTCGACATGGTTTCCTGAGAACAAACCACAGACGAGTGGTGCGGATGTCTCTCTTGGACCAAACGAGACCCTTTTCAAGTGCCAGAAAAGATGCACCAGGCACTGGCGATGTTGACGGAGACTCGGCCTTTGCCCAGGCCATGAGGGACCAAAAGGCAAAGGAGGGCACCGACGAACCCGCCTCGGAAGAGTCGCAGGAACCACAGCCAGAAGGCCCCAAGAAATCTGGCAGCGGGATTGGCTGGGCAGTGGGCTTGGGAGTGTTGGCATCGTATATTTATTTGGGTTTGTTGCGGTCTGGTTCATGTGCGTAGGCCAGACGTACGAAAGTCCCGATGTGGAGGGCGAAAACTGGTTCGAAGCACACAACAGACGATCTTGGGAATCCATCAAAGACTCGTACGACTACTTTATGAACCCGCCTACCAAGTCGCTCCTGCCTCCGCTTCCTCCGCAGCTGGCGCGAGAACACACTCTCTGCTTCGAGCTGACCGACGCCCTCACGCATCTGGTTTGGGACAAGGACGTCGGATGGAGAGTGGCCATCAGACCGGGTGCCAAGCAACTGCTGTACACGCTCCACCAATACTTTGAGATCGTCTTGTTTACCAACACACCCAGCCATCTTGCTTCCCCAGTTATGGATGCCTTGGACAACTACGGCCTGGTGCACTACCGACTCTTTCGAGAGCACCACCGTCTGGACAAAGGTCTGATGCCCTGGCTAACTGGCAGACACCCACCTAAAGGACCTGAGCTTTCTCAATCGAGACCTGTCAAGAGTGATTGTTGTGGACAACCACCCAGAGTGTCTTGGCACCCATCCCGAAAACGGCATCTTGATCAAGTCGTGGCAGGGAGAAAGCGGCGACAGGGAGCTGTTCAAGTACACGGCGTTTCTGCAGGGTAGGCAGCCGGCGGCTGACGACATAGAACTGGTTACCTTTGCGGCGGCACAAAAGATCAAGGACTTGCGTCCCCTCTTGACCAACCTCAAGGAGCTCGACGGACAGGATCTCCCCAGGGCCTGGGAATCGTTCAAGGCCAATCTCCGTGCCTTGGCCAAGGAAAAGGAAGGCACGCATGTGGAGGTAAAAGAGTCGCTGTTTGCCACCATCTCCTCGACCGTGCAAGCACTAGTGGGAGGCGGTGTGTCGACGTCTCGTCCCAACGTGACGTCCATCGATCGCTTGGAAAAGTACTGTGCCGACACCCGAAAGGCGCTTGACAAGGACCTGAAGCGACACGCCAAGAGCATCGAGGAACACCGCCACGAACAGGAAGAAATGATCCAGCAGCAGATGGAGGAAATCAAGAACAGCGACTTTAAGCTGATCGACTATTTGACTGGCAATGTACCCCAGCCTGGTCAGCCAACCGAACACAAATAAATGCATCTCAGACTTTATCTCTGCAGAGATGTGCATGGTAGCTGTGCAGAAACTGCAGCTGCTCGTTCGTCTCGATGGCCTTGACGGATCTACGGCTGCGCAGATGCAGCACCACCGACCGGACGCTCTTAAAGTAGCCGCGACGCAGCAGAAAGCAGGCCGCAATCACCCCTGCCCTTCCGATTCCGCCTACAGCGTCAACCCACCGCGCCTACCTCGACAGTGCGCCAGCGTGTTGCCGCCTCTCCGATCGATTTCATCCAGCACGTCCTCAACCTCCTGGATCGTGTTGGGGGCCGCGCCTTCTTTGATGGGTATCCGCACGACCTGCAAGCCCAGCCTTTGGGCCAGCATCTCGTAGTCGGGCCAGCCGGCGCCAAGATATGCCAGCTCCTCATCGTCAAGGCAGTTGATGATGGTCGAGATGTTGGAGTTGGCAATGCGCTGCAGATCTAGTTCAAGGCTTCGTTTGACGCTTGGCCTTCCACACGGCTCAGCGCGGAAATCCAGCCGGACCTGCTTGCCCGGACAGGAGCTCAGCGCAAAATTGCCCCTGACGACACGAAAAGGACGGCAGCCCTGCAGATGCATCTTTTCCGATTGCATCGGCGACACAGCATGTTCCAGCGCAGCCTCGGAGACCTCAAACTCCATCCGCTTGATCGGATTGTAGTCGTGTGGGCGTGGTCTTCTTTTTCCGTTCTGGGCGGCCACTTGCTCAACGCGAGCCTTTGGTTTTGCCTTTTGGATGCGTGGCAGGTCGCCGTCGGAGAGCAGCCAAGAGATGCGAATGGGATGAGAAACCGACGTTCGTGGAACGCTCTGTGCCGGTGGCATTCCAAGCTCCATGATTTAGACTTTAGCAAAACGCGTCCGCTCCAGACCCCAATGAAGACCACGGTGACCCAGTGTGGATTTCGGTTTTCTTCGGAATTCGACAGCGGCAATCTCCAGGCTGTGGAGGTGCAAGCTTGCTCCAACCCGGCCGTGTCAAGAGAAGGATCCTCGTCCACTCTTTATTCCGCCAAGGACAAGGACGAGAAGCTGCCGCCGCGACCCGACTTTAGTTGCAAGCTTTGGACAAGCGCAGATGGCGATGGGACAAACAACCCAACCAAGAACCGCACTTGGTTTTACTACTCGGTAACGGTGCCGAAGAACTCTCCCGAAACCACCTTCCAGTTTCAGTTTATGAATCTAAACAGAGTCATGAAGCTGTTTGGCATGGGAATGCGGCCGGTGTACCGGACGGCGGAATCCAAGCAGTGGAAGCGAATCCCAACCTCTCCCATAGCCACCTATGTGGAAAATGCCTTGGAGCTGACCTTTTACTTTACGTTCCCTGCTGCACACAAGAGCGCATCTACCTACTACTTTGCGTATACTCTGCCATACCCCTATTCTCAGCTCCAGCAGCATTTGCAGCGGCTGAGCCAAAAATGGGAGCCCACTGTCTCTGCCAGCAGGATTCCACTGCCGGCCGCTGTCTCCAGGCCAAAAAACATTTACTTTCACCGAGATGTCCTTGTCCAAACGGCAGAGAGCCTCAACTTGGACATCTTGACAGTGTCTTCGCTGGACGGCATCTGTCCTGACGAAGAGGAAGAGATTGCCGGTCTATTTCCTCTAAAGCAGTCCAGAGCCAAAAAGTTTGACATGGCGCAAAAGCAGTTTTTTGTCCTGACTGCGCGCGTCCATCCTGGCGAGACGATTTCGTCGTACATGCTGGACGGCTTTCTGGACTTTATCCTCTCCTCCGACCCGCGCGCGCTCATGCTGCGGAGCAAGTTTGTGTTCAAAGTCATACCAATGCTGAATCCCGACGGCGTCTTCCTGGGCAACTACCGAGGAGACCGCAACGGCGTCAATCTCAACCGGGTTTACGACAACCCGGACCAGACAGACCACCCCACCATTTGGGCCACAGTGCAGTATCTGACGCAGCTGCACTACCGGGCGGGGCTTTCGTGGTTCATTGATTTCCACGGCCATGCCAACAAGGCTGGGAGCTTTTTGTTTGGCAACTGGGTCGACGACATTGCACAGCAGTACGAAATGCTCGTCTTTGCCCGATACTGCTACATCAACAACCCGCTCTTTGACTACTCCGAGTGCGACTTTGCACCAAAAGGCATGGTGCCCAACGCAAAGCCGGCCGCAGAAGGCAAGATGGGTTCATCGGCTGACCACTAGACGCCAGCCCCGAGCAGACCAAAGATGGAACCAGTCGCGTTGTGCTCTACAGACTGACCGGGAGCCCGCACTGCTATACCTTTGAGGCAAACTACTACGGCACCAAGCTAGACAGGCGCTCGATAGCCTCTCCGCACGAGGCAGCCCGGCCTCCATCCAAGTTTTCCGCCTCGGCAGCCGAAAAGAGGTTCAGTCTGCAGGACATGGCAAACATGGGAAAGTCCATTGCCCTGGCTCTATTTGATACCACCTTTTCGCAGCACTCTCTCGCATCGATGGCCAAGGACGACGAAAAGGTCCATGGCTGGGTCACCGACCGTCTCAAGAGGCTGTATGTAAAGGCCAAGGTGCCGCTGCCAACCGGTGCCAGATTGTAATAAACCTGGTTTCCCAGAAATGTCAGAACTGGTCGACATCGCGGCACAGCTGGCGATCGCAGCACCGGCCGACTCAGTGACAGTGAATTTTGCACACGAAACGGTTAAAATCTCCAAGAAGGAATTGGTCCAAATCCACTACTTTGACGCTTTGTTCCGC